TTGGACATGTCTGGAAAAGAAAGTTCTTATTGGCAGGACCTTAAAGCGCTTATCCGGATGTGAGTACTCTTTAATTCAGCTGGATTGGCGGCTGTAAAGCGGGGCTTCGTTAATTAAGGCTAGGTAATGATCAGAGAGCACGCGCAAGGGAGAGACGTAGATTGAGTTGCGGGCACGAGAGGCCTGAATTAGGTCGCAAAGCTCGGCCTACCAGCCTCCAAGCCTGTTGAATTAAAGTTATGTGAAGAAATCTGGTTTGTGAATAGCTTCATATGGGAAGTGTGGAGTAATAACTTACTACATCCAGATAGTTGTATTTTTTTGCTAGTCTCGAGAATTTTGACAGCTCTGCAAAAGATTTTCCTTACAAGTATTTAACATTGCAAGATTGCCTAAGTTCCACAGGTGCTAAAAATTTCGCTTGTTTTTTTTGGTTTCCACAACCAAATAGCACAAATTTTTGTTCTCCCCTCCCTTTCTTCCGAACAAAAGTTTTCGGAGAATGCCACATCTTAAACCGTTGATGCGAATTCTGCTATATATTTCAAGGAGAAGACAACTTTCATTTACAGTCCTACGTTCGTTTCTTGCACCTGGGCCTATACTGCTCTAATTTTCGTCACCGGTACTCTGGTTTGGTGGGAGCCAACTATTATCGAGCATGGAATTGCATGGAACAAAGGAGAGAATGACACAGCTTCACAACCAGATAGCAAATCGGACCAGTAAGTATGGCCTAAGCAGGGTTTAGAGTTATCGGCGCTCCATCACTGTGTCAGTGGAATCGTAAGACCAAAGCGACGCGTATTATTATTCATATTGATTGATCGAAGTTCCGGCACAGCGCTGACACGGATGACACGGCGGCGGCACAGCGTCGGCACTCTGGACGCATTGTTGCTATTGACGATGAAAAAGCTCATGTACTGTTTTAATTCAGCATCGGATTGATCTTTGGAGGAATCACGACCTTGTCAGGACTTTTGGGCGTGACAGCTGGGACAGTGATGGCAGGGGTAAGTGTTCAGCCCTTCCACTTCAAGATACTAATACAGTAATTAATTCAAGATGATGCGAAAAGGCCGTGGCATCTTTCGACCAATAAAAACAGAGCGAGCTCAACCAATCGTATCTGGGGTTGGAGCGCTGATCAGTGCACCTCTGCTAGCCGTGATATTCATTTGGGGCCATCATAGCATCACAATGCTTTGGGTCAGTCTTCCATCTTGCAAAAATATCCAAACAAACTTAGTTTTTTAGATAATTTTGTTCGTTGTGAGCACATGCTTAAGCTTCAACTGGGGTCTGAATGTCGATATGCTTATGGTAAAAATAGTCTAACATTGTTCTCCTATCTAAACACTTTTTAATTAATTTTTTTAGAGCGTCATAGTACCATCTCGGAGAAGTACGGCATTTTCTTACTTTATGCTCATTTCACATCTTTTCGGGGACGCTACGGGACCATACATCGTTGGTGCGGTGAGTCCTCATGCAGAAAATGGTCATTTTTTACAACAAGAACTCTCATTGTTTGAATGCCAATTTCAGGTATCCGACGCAATTCGAGGTGATGTAAAAACGCCAAAAAATCACTATCTTTCATTGGTAAAGGCATGCTCGGTGACTGTAGTACTGCTCTGTATATCTGCTGCTCTTTACTTTGTATCAGCTGCCACGCTTCTGAGAGATCAAAAGAAGTTCAAAGAACAAATGGGTAGGTAATTCCCATCAGCCTGGCCACAAAAGTTTTGCTCATGGATGCGATTATTTGTGCTCTAAAAAAATCAAGGGAGCTAGTACAAAAAGTTTGATACCTCTGACTAATACAGCTTCAAATAACATTTTTGCACTATTGAAACTTTTTTGTGCTTTATCAAAATTGCAGATGAAGAGTGCTAGCTTTAAGTACCGATTTTTTCGACTATCAAGCGTCAGAACAACATCCAAGTTTTCCGAATTTTACCGTCAGACCACTGCAAATGCCTCAAATAAAAACTTTTTCTGTAGAAAAAATCTCTTACAGTTCCCAAATTAAACTTTTCTCTCAACACTCATCTGAAAGTGAATGAAAAATGTTTTTTAACTTCATACTACTTCACTATCACTGTAAATTGGACTAAAAGCGCTCTTTTCCTTTTTTTTGTGAATCCGTGTATACCCCACGATGGTTCGCCGCCTCAAAGTGGCGTGGGGGTGGCCCTGGGTGTCAGCTACCTGCAGCCAGAGTTTAACCTCTGGCTCCCGGACGCCCAGCAAAGAGCGAACCGGGTTAGCTTCCGCCGTCTGACTAATAGGTCGTTAGGCGGGTCCCCACTCCACATAATGATGGTCAGCGATCGCCTGAATATGGTAGGCCTGAGCAGGCCTGGTAAGCCGACTCAGTGCCGGGGAAAAATTTAAAACTCGAGCAGCAAGTAAAGGAATAAAGCCCTGTCATCAGACCCCAACTAAGGCGCCGGAAGGAAGCAAGGCTGGTGGCAGGTTGCTCAGGGCGCCATTTGGATTGGACAAAAACGGCACACCTGCGACGACCCGCCATGGAGACTGCTTCATGCTCTGCACTTACAACGCCAGAACAGTCTCCACAGACGCCGACCTTCACGCTCTTCTCCACGCCGCAGGGCACATCAAGTACCACGTCATCGCCCTGCAGGAAACGAAGTCCAGGAAGCAAGACGTGCGACAGTTGAGCGATGGGACCCTCGTCATTCGTGGTGAGAAAGTTCCGTCGCGGAACGTGGGAGGCGTCGGCTTTGTCGTCCACCCAACGATCGTCCATCTCGTCAATTCGCATGGGATCCTGTCTCCCCGACTGGCCATCCTTCGTCTTCACCCTCCACACCAGAAGACCATCAGCATCATCAACTGCTATTCTCCAACATCAGCAGCTGATGATTCGGAATTGGATGCTTTTTACGAGCATGTAGAGGAGGTCGTCCGCAACGAGAAGTCCTTCTACAAGTTTGTTGTGGGTGACTTTAACGCGAAAATCGGGATGAAACTAGAAGAGGAGTATAGGATCGGGAAATTTGGATTTGGGCTCCGGAATGATAACGGCAACCGTCTTATTGGGATCCTATCCGCCGCACGCCTGTTTCATGGAAACTCACTTTTCATGAAAAAAGAACAACGACGATGGACATGGGAGTCACCCAATGGAACGACACATGCGGAGATTGACCACATACTTACCAACCGAAGATGGTGCCTACTTGACGTATCGGTAGTGCCATCTTTCTGCAGTGGCTCTGATCACCGCCTCCTACGAGCGAAGGTACGATTCAGTCGAAAGCTGGAAAGGAAGATTTGCCATCGCAGTCCACGAAGGAAGGATGTCGTTTACGACGGTCAAAGGTTAGAGGAGCTCTTATCATGTTGTGAGTGGCCCATCGAGGAAGACCCAACGAAGGACTACGAGCTGCTTCTCAAAGGATTGGAAGCCTGTGGGTATTGCGCCTCAACAACTCGTGCAAGGAACTTGGATCGCATCTCAAGCGCCACCAAGGAATTGTTCGATAGAAGAAGATCCTTGAGGCTGGATCCGAATGCATCTCACCTCGAGCGGCTGGTGGCAAATACCAGCTGCAGAACTGCATTGCAGGAGGATCTACGAAAGTACAGGCAAAGGAGGATTTTGGAAGCCGCTGAACAAAGACGAAGTCTGAAGAAATGCCGAAGGGACCTTTGCGACTACCACATACCACTGGGAGCGTTATTAAACGAAAATGGGATACCAACAACTTCCCGCCGAGAAATGGAATCGATCGCGAAGAGTTTCTACAGCAACCTCTTCCGCTCATCAACACCCGTGCCAGACCCCGCTGCTCCCACTGGAGACACACCACCACGAATTCTTCCTGCTGAAGTACGCGTCGCGATCCAGACCATGAAGACGTCCACAGCTCCAGGACCAGACCATCTTTCCGTGGACCTGCTAAGAGCTGGAGGACACTGTCTACACGAGATTCTGGCGGCGCACCTGACATCTTATCTCCAGAAGGAAAGGATTCCCGACCAGTGGAGAACGTCAAGAACCGTTCTTCTCTTCAAGAAGGGCGAACGGGAAGATCTTCGAAACTATCCGATATGCCTGTTGAGCGTGCTGTATAAGCTTTTCACCAAGATCATTCTCACTCGCATCTCAAGGACACTGGATGAGGCCCAACCTCCAGAACAAGCTGAATTTCGCAAGGGATTCAGTTGCATGGATCACATCCAGATGGTTTCGAGGGTCATAGAAGTTTGCCGGGAGTACCGATTACCTCTCGTCCTAACCTTCGTCGACTACGAGAAGGCATTTGACAGCGTCGAGTTCAACGCTATCCTGTCAGCGCTAGTCGATCAAGGAGTGGATCCGTCATATGTGAGGACATTAGCCAACTGCTACAAGGACTGCACTACAAGCTACAGCTGTTCCATCGCCCCCTGACCGTACCAATAGGGAAGGGGGTCCGACAAGGCGATACCATATCGCCTAAGCTGTTCACTGCGGCCTTGCAGTGGGTGATGAAATCACTGGACTGGAATGAGAGAGGTATACGAGTTGATGGGAGATTCCTCTCGAATCTTCGTTTCGAGGACAACATCGTTCTCTTCTCGAGCAGTATCAATGAAGCCGAGACGATGTTAAAGGAATTGAACGAAGTAGGGAAGACGATTGGACTGCGAATCAATCGGAAGAAGACCCAGTTCATGAAGAACGGCCTAATTGAGGATACGGAATTGAAGCTGGAAGGTTCCCCAATCACGGAGACCTCTTCTTACGTGTATCTAGGACGTTCAATGAACATGCAGAACGACTTGAAAGAAGAACTTAACAGAAGGCGAAGAGCAGCTTGGGCCGCTTACGGGCCTTTGAAAGAAGCCACCGACCAACTAACGGACCCTGCGCTCCGAACTCATCTGTTCGATTCAACCGTTCTCCCAGCGCTCTGCTACGCAGCCGAGACGTGGGCTGACACTGCTGCCACGTCGAAAGCTCTTCGTACCACCCACAGAGCGATGGAGCGGAGTCTTCTGAAGTTTAACCGACGTACGCAACATCTTGCCGGACTTCGCAGTTCTGATTTAAGAAGTATGTCCCGTCTACGAGACCCAGTCGAGTATGTTTCGAAGGTAAAGTACCGATGGGCCGGTCACATTGCAAGAAGAACAGACGACAGATGGACGTTAAGAACGCTGGAATGGATCCCTCGCGATGTAAAACGCCCTCGAGGAAGACCCCCCACCAGGTGGGCAGATGTGTTCGTGGAAAGGATGGACCAGCTGAAAAACCAGCTGGAAGCGAATTTTACACCTAGATCTCGTGATCTTCGCCACCAACGACCGATACGAACATCGTGGTTGACGCTTGCGAGGGATAGGAACGGATGGAAGCTGTGCTGCGGCCCGCACGACACGTGAGGACGGGCCAACTAAGTAACTAAGTAAGTAACCGTGTATACCCATTTTTTTTCTTTGGTTCAACTGATTTGGCTGTTGGAAGACGGGATCCGTGACCTGATTAAGGCTAGGTAATGATCAGAGAGCAAGCGCGTGGGAGAGACGCAGACTGCGAGCGGTCTTATTTAGGTCACAAAGGTCCTGCCTTTCAGCCGTCAAGCAAATTGAATCAAAGGTTGATGTGAATCGCACACTACCCTTTCGTTTTTTTAAAAACAACAAAGATTTTCTTCTTCTGATATTTCATGTGTGTAACTTTTCTAACCTTAGTTGAACAATGTTTTCAGCCAATCTGAACGATGATTAGATATTTGATAAACCAGCCGAAACGGTATTGAACAGAATGAGATTGTACTTATATAACACAGGGGTTATAGCAACCATCAAGAAAATTTCAGCAAAAAAAAACAGGAGCGCATTTTTTTGAATTTTTAACCCAAATTCCGAACGTATCCGATTGGCGATATAATGCAGTCCGCTGCGACATAGCTTATATTTAGGTATGACAAACTGCCAACTGAAAGATTCCACATCCTCCGCATCGTCGAGTGAGAGGTTGCACGGAAGTTGGGATGAACATCAAGGGAGGGACCGAAGGGTCTAATGGAATCAGCTCAAGAACTAGAAATCATGTATTGATTTCGTCAATAACTAAGTCTTTCATCAGCATTCCTCGATTGTAATAAATTCTCAGCTACCTCATTCTTCAGTACTGAGCAGGTGTAGATTGATAATCCAGCTCGCACTCCAATGTTCCTCTAATGTGATAAATATCCCTGCAATTTGTGATCAGATTTGAGGAGCAAAAATTGAATAACCGCTTTCCGAGTGTTTGATCCAAGAGTCCATGATTTAGCTCCGATGTACGCGTTTGCACTATAACATCTGTTTGCATTACAATACCTTCATTTGAATCGCCAAATTTTGACTGTTTAAATGGAAAAGCTCCTGTGTACTTTGCATGAAACGGTTTAATTGCAATATTGGATGAAAAGCAAGAGCGACCAGAGTGGCTTTGTCCTTTAGGATTTTCTGAACTACAACAAGTGTCAGCGACTGCAGGGGCGATTGTTTTATGAAAATTCATTGTTACAAGGACAGCCAAATCTAGCCACTGAATGTGAATTTCGAACATTTTTGCACTACACGAGCACAAATATACCGGCCGAAGGCCAATAATCAAAGACCGCAACCTATCAGAACAATTGAGGGAAGCGGATTGTGCGATATGCAATTGGGTGGAGTTTGCGCCAACATGAAGTTCGTACCCTTTCCACCTG